AGTCCTGGTTTCAATCTACTCGAGGACTGCTTTTCCAAACCTCTCTTGCCCAGTGCAATATTTGTAAATTTTTAAATGTTCAGTGACACACCTGGATGGGCAGTCCTCTCCACTTCTACAAATAAAACCGGCAATGTATGTATGTAGGGCATACCGTTGAATGTTAGGCTTGAGTGCACCCCAAGTTCAGGTCAGAAACAAGGGACAGAGAACAGAAGCTTATTTGAAATCAAGCTTCTACTCCCTGGGGAATCACATGGATCCTAGCAACACTGAACAAAGGGCTATAGACAAAGCGATTGAGAATTCTGGACTGTAAACCATTTTTCTCTCTCTGGGCTGTATACATTCAGACACGTCACCGTCCTACATTAGCATTGTCTACCAGGCCTATGCTTTATTGCTCCTAACTGGGCAAACTGTAAATACTGGGATTTTTCCAGTTCAGGAGGATTTGAGTTTATGTAATGAGTTTGTTATCAGATCATTTGGTCTCTGTGAAAGAAAAGATCCAAAGACTGGGAACTCTGTTCATCAACCAGAGGAGTCTGGCCTTTAGGAAAGAGGCTGAGGCAGAGCCCAAGGTCAAGCAGTCAGAGCTCTGCAGGGAAACAAGAACCCAAATAGGACAAGCCTTACTAATGATACTTTGCCAACCAACTTAGACTGAACCAACATCCTAGTGCGCACTCAGGTGAACCCCACATGGAGAAGGGAATGGTGGGACATTGGGACATTGCTCCAAACTCCTCCATTACCCACACTGTAACCCATCTAGCAGTCTGAGCAGCTCAGGATTTCTAAAGGAAATACAGGAGCTGGAAGATTGAGTATCGAAAAGATTATGTCTGCCTACAGTCATAGAGAAAGGGAAGATGGAAAAAGAGAACAGGAGGAAGAGCTACAGACCCCTAGGGTCCACGGAAGACTTGGAGCAGAGTTTTAATTCATGAAAATAGACAGAAAAACCTATCGATCCTTGGAAGACAGGGGAAATAAAAAGGGAAATAGCCAGCAGTCTGCACAGGAGGATCCCTGGAGTTTTAACTTCTTGTCCCAACACCACTCATCTGGTCTTCTCATTCGTTAGCATGATCCAATACACTGGCTGTGAAATGCTTTTCTAGCCTCTGCTCTACACTGCTCAGTGATGAACACAATGTTTCTTGAGAGATCCAAAATAGAGAGATCACCATAATACTACCTTAGTACCAACGTGGCATTTATCAAAAAGTGAACAACGGGGAACTCTCCTGAACTCTCCTGATCATATATCCATGATCAACATGTTAAATGTCATAATTTGATGATGCAATGCTCTAAGACCTCCCCAGCTTAAGTGAGGAGGCATTTCACAAACACAGTGCCTCGTTTTCCCCTTTGCACATAAGACAAAACAAAACAAAACAAAACCCATCACGCTAAACAGAAATAGAGCACACCCTGACCTCCACTGGCCTCCACCAACAGCAGAATCACATGGCCTAACAGCTAGGGAGTTACCAAGATCCACGAAGACCGGATGACAGACACACAGAAGGCCAAGCAGGCGCCTCTGGAAACAGCCATTCCAAACACATCCTGTACCTCAGCCCTGCCCTCACCTCTTTTTAGGGGTCTGGACTCCGCTGGGAAAGAGAGAACCTGAGTCCTGATAGAGAGAGTGAAAAGAGGACATTCCTCTTCCACCAAGCCAACGAGGTCTGCTGAGTGGGAAAGACCTACTCCTCCTGCAGTTTCCTTCTCAACTGTCATGGCATCAGCAGATTTTATGGAAGGATGAGGGAATGGACGGGCTCACTACCCAGAGCAATTTTTGGATGCAATTATGAGACTCCCCTGGCACTGATTTAAGATCTGCAAGTTGGAGCAAGTTGCCATGCAGTCCAAGGAGGGATTAACTAAACCAATTTCATCTCAGTTTGCGCTGTTCAGATGATAGAGTCATGAGGAAACCAAGTCACTGGGGCCTGTAGCAGGGCTTCCCAGGGTGGCCGTGGAAGGTACAACGTGCCAGGTGAGATCTAGTGGTCATGAAAGAGGGAGCCAATCAGCCCTTTGTTTTCCCTAGCTTCTACCCCTGTCTTGCTCCTCCCTGTCCTACTCCGGGTGCTGCAGGTAAGGAAGGAGGCCTCAAATGAGGAGGCCAAATATGAAGGCCAAGACCTGGACTTTGGCCCCATCAGCAGAGAACTCTGCACATTGTAGGTGCTCAGTAAATATTGTTGACTCACTGCTGCTAGATGCTAATCATGCTCCTATTGCCAGGCCTAAAATTATTTATGCCGCTTTTCAGTAGAAATTAACTGCCCCCATACAGGCTAAAAATGGGTGAGGTTATGTTTGCAAATGAGTCTGACTCAGACTGTTAGGTTGGAGTACATTAGATATGATTCAAGCTTCAACTTAAAATAATCACCATTACTCCGTATGCCTAGTTTTATGCATGTTTTCATTCAGTTGTACATGCTTTAGGAACAACAAACAACAGAGTCCTGAGTATGGTGATAGATTTGGCTCCTGGGGTGGAGGGTGGCTAACGATGGTAAGTTAGGGTTTCCACTAAACCAGGGTTCCTCCTCACACCCAGTCCAGCTATTATCCCCATAAAAAGGTAAATGAAGCACTTTATTTGAAAAGCGTAATGCTGAGAGTTTATAGAACCCTTTCATCTTCAAAAGACCAAGCAGAGCCTCAAAATACCCAGTATACAGTATTACGCCTTTTACACAAGTACACCAAGTATAAAAGAAAGGTCATAGTAATGTCCTAGGGCCATAAAACCAATGTGATGTTTATTTGGGATAAACTCTCTGATCTTCCTGACTCCTAGACCCATATTTCAACCACAGAAATCCAGTTGTGAGGAACGACCAGGAAAAATCTCATTCACATTATGTATCTATATTAAGGTAATTGATTGGGCAGGCATATATAAAAATAGCAGACTGTTTCTCCCTTAGGGCAGTCAGTAGGATTGCAGAGGGGAGAAAAGGGGGCATGTGAGGGTTGGGGTAATCAGGTAGGGTTAAGCCAGAAGGAGGAGACAGAAGCTCCCTATTATTCAGCATTTCCCTTCTATTGGAACATCACCAGAGAAGTGATTAGAGAGCACTGGGAGGGAACAGAATAGGGTTCAAGGCAGCCCTTACCGCCCAACTAGAGAATCCAAGGAATCAACCACATACATGACTGAACTTTTTATACAGTTTCCACTATATTCCTGTATCAGGGCTCCTCCTCACAGGCACACAACCATCACCATGCACCTACCCCACACTCAGAAATCCTGAAAAAGGCAAATTGCTCCTCAAAAGGAGCAAGAGGCTGGAGGGCTGGGAGGCAGGTGGAGCACGCAGGTTGGTGGGGGTTAGTCTGGGGGGGATGGTGCATTCTGCTGGGAGACCTGGGTGGGCAGGTAGGTGTGTGACAATGCAGGAAGAGGGCAAGTGAGTGCGAAGAAGGGTAAGGGAGCATGGAAGAGAGAAAGTGAAGAAAACTCAAGACCCCAGGATCCCAATTTCCTGCTCTGTGGGGTTTGGGTGGGAGGGAGAACAAAAAAAAAAGAGAAAAAAAAACAACCAAACAACAAACACACACACACACAAACACAAAACCACAAAACGCCTCCAAGAAATAATGTGCTACACACAAAGTACTAAGAAGCCTAAAGCTCATCATTACCGAAACTGTTTCTGTAAATCTACTCCGCCGTTATTTACTCCATTCTTAAGAGGCAGGAATGGAAAAACCCTACCTCTCCCCGGTACGGTCGCAGTCTGTCCTCTGGACATATAGAAGTTTTCCCCCTCTCCCACTGAGCTGGTTTCAAGGCTAGGCCAGAAATAAGGAACCACCCAGACGGAGACCCGGGAATCGCTCCCCTGGCAGAAAAGGGATTAAGTTTCATCTGGCCTCCCCGCCGGCAGGGTGTCCGCAGCATCCCTGGCTGCTGCAGCAGCCACTGCCGCGTGGAGGGCCGGTCGAGGGGCGCCGCGCGTGTCAAGAAGGCTATGGGCCGCGGGAGCGTGGGAAGGCGGCGGTGCCCTTTCCCAGACTCCCGCACAGGCACCGGGGCAGCCGCTCGACCGCCCGCGCCGGGCGAGTCGGGGCGCTGGAGGCCTCGGGCCGCCCCCGCCCCACACCCCGGAGTGCAAACTCCGTCCCAAGAGGGCAGCGACGGGCACCCAGACCAGGCCGGGGCCCCCACCGCCGACACCGCCACCTCGAGCCTCGCGGTGCCCCGTCACCCCGCCCCGCCTAGCCCCGGGGCCCTGGGCCCCGTGCCGGGCCCCAATGGCACCTGAGAGGCGGCCGGAACCGGAGTCCGGGTCGAGCGGAGCGCGGGCGGTGCCCCTCGGCTCCCGGGGCCGCGGCGAGGGGGCGCGTTTTACCCATAGCGTTCCCGGGTGCCAGCCATCTCCTTGGCGCGCCCGAGGGCGCCGGGCGCTCGCCTGCCTCCGCTGGGAGCTGGCTCGGGCTCCGGCGCGAGCTCCCGGGCCGCCGCCGCCTCTCTAGGCCGCCGCCCGCCTTCGCCGCCGCCGCCGCCGCCGCGCAGCAGCCGGGATCCGCCCGCCCGCGCGCCCCGCGAGAGACAGCACGGCAGCCGCGACGCTACCACAGCTGGGTCTCCAGAGACGAACTTAAAGAGTTTTAGCCCTTTCGTCCAGGGGCAGCACCATGACACCACGGCAGCACCACACTGTCATTTCCGCCGCCGCAGAGGAAAAAAAAAAAAAGGCAATCCCTACTTAAAGGGGGGTGGGGGGCAAACAGGGCTGGGGCTGGCGCCCCGAGGTAACACTGCGAAGGGCCCCGGGTACCAGGGGCGCTTGACCACCTTCCCGGTCTCACCTTCCTCCACCCCCGCCGCTCCCAGCTCCCCCAGCCCCTCCTGTGGAGGCGCGTTTACAGGTTTTCTCCCCTGGCTGGAGTGACCGGAGAAACCTGAGCAAGCCAAGGCAGCGGGTGGGTGGGGTTCGGGTTACTACGGTACCTACCAGCTGATTCCAGCAGCCTTTTCTCCAGCGCCCTGTCATCTTGAAGGAAGACACACCGAGAGGGGCTCGAGCGGGCGTGTGTGTGCGAGCGCGTGTGTGTATGTGTGTGTGCGCGAAAGAGAGAGAGAGAGAGCGCAGAATGTGTACGAAATGCAGAAGGAAGACTATGGCCAAACTCTTCTCCCACCCGCCAACCCTCTGATCGCACAAGCCACCAGTTTAGAACAAGGAAAAGGCCATCGCCACCAGCAACGACAAGAGAGTGCCTAGGTCCACCGCACTGGTTCTCAGATGAAGCCGCTCCGGTGCAAAGTTAACTACCAAGTAAAACAAAAATAGTGGAGGACACATAAAAGGGCAGACAATTGAAGGAAACCCAACCCCTCTTTCTTTTTACAAAGGGAGAATGCCTGTGTTTTATTGGCCTTGGGCAGAAGTTGTGGAGATGGATTAAAGCCACCAAAATTTTAGAAAAACAAAAGAGAGTAGAGTCTCATCTGCACATCCAAATCCTTGATGGGCAAAACAAGAGGGTCGTTAAACAGGACAATAGGACAGATGCCAGCCATCCAGGTATAATGTCCCTAATAAGCTAATTGGTCCATCTGGAACCCGGAAGCCTCATTGGTCTGGAGTCAGCCTCTCGGCTGACCTGTCATTGGCTCAGAGACCACCACCCTACTCACAAAGAGGATGAGAGAGGAAAGGAGGAGGAGGCCCCAGAGGAGATTCTGTACCTAAGGTGGGATCAAAGGGGGAGAGGAAGGAGAGAGAAGAGAGAAAATGAAAGGAAACACTCCCATTTCTCATAGGCCTCCCATTACTGTGCATGGGAACGAGTCCAGAAAAATTAAGGTAGCTCTGGGAGTCTCCCATGAAGGAACCAATAGTAAGTAGCCAACACCCCTGTTAAACAATGTGCTAGAGAGCCCTGAAGTGGAAACGAAGGCAAAAATTACAACCAGGCTATCCTGATGAAAGTCTGACCCTGAGAGAAATAAGTTAAGGAGTCACACCAAAGGCACAGACAACTGAAATCAGAAACAGAAGTGGGACCACATCAGACTTTAAAACTTCTGCATGTCAAAAGAATTAACAGTGAGAAGACACAAACAGAGGGGACATATTGGCAAACCCTATATCTGATAAGGGGTTAGTATCTGAAATATATAAAGAACTCCTACAACCCAATAACGAAACAAATGGCCCAACTGAAAAATGAGCAAAGGACTTTGGATAGACATTTATCTCTTCAAAGTAGCCAGACAAATGGCCAAACGTATGAAGAGATGCTTAATGTCACTAATCATCAGAAAAAAATGCAAGTCAGAACCACAATGAGATATCACCTCACACTGGTTAGGATGGCTACTATTTTAAAAACAAGCAGACAGAAAGGCAGAAGTGTTGGCGAGGATCTGGAAAAATTGGAGCCCTTGTGCACCGTTGCTGGGAATGTGAAATGATACAACTGCTCCAGAAAACAGTATGGAAGTTCCTCAAAAAAGTAAAAATAGGACTACCATATGATCCAACAATCCCACTTCTGAAAATATAGCCAAACGAATTGAAAGAAAAATCTGAAGGAGATATTTGCACCCTCACATTCATTGCAGCATTATTAACAATCGACAAGAGGTAGGAGCAATCCAAATGTCCATGGGAAGATTAAAGTATAAAGAAAAATATGGCATATACATACAGTAGAAGGTGGCATATACATGTCAGCCATAAAAAAGAAGGAAATTGGGATGCCTGGGTGTCTCAGTGGTTGAGCTTCTGCCTTCGGCTCAAGGCATGATCCTGGGGTCTGGGATCAAGTCCCACATCGGGCTCCTTGCAGGGAGTCTGCTTCTCCCTCTGCCTATGCCTCTGCCTCTCTATGTGTGTGTCTCTCATGAATAAATAAAATCTTTAAAAGAATAATTTAAAAAGAAGGAAATCTTGTCATATGCTAGGACATGGATGAACCTTGAGGATCATATGCAAAGTGAAACCAGCCAGTCCTAGAAGGACAAATACTGCATGATTCCACTTATAGGAGGTATCTAAAATAGTCAAACTTGTAGGAACAGAAATGGTGGGTGCAGTGGGGAAGTGTTGTTCTGTGGAGGTAGAGTTTCCATCATACAGGACTGGGTTGCGGGGATAGCAGGGAGGTTCTGGGGAATCTGTTGCACAACAATGTGCACAAGGTTGACAATATTGCACTGTACATTAAAAAAATTGTTGAGAAGCTGATTTTATGTCATGTGATTCCCTCCACAATAAATAATGTATTTTGTCAAAAGCTGAGTCAGAAGTAAACTGATCCTAGCATAACAGAGGAATGGATAAATAGGAATTATATATATATATATATATATATATATATATATATATATATATATATATATAGTTATCTCTCTCAACTGTTGTTAAATGAAAAAAGCAAGTGGTGTATGGTTTGCTACTACTGTGAAAAGCTGATTACACTGGTTGCCTGGGGGTCAGGCATAGGAGGAAGTACTTAACATTGTATACACCCTTTTGTACTCTTTTGTACTCTGAATTTTTTATAATGTCCCTGTATTGCCTTTCTTTTAAAGATTTTACTTATTTATTTGACACAGAGAGAGAGCACACAAGCAAGGGAAGCAGGGGGAGCGGGAGTAGGAGTGGGAGAAGCAAGCTCCCCACTGAGCAGGGAGCCCAATGTGGGACTTGATCCCAGGACCCCAGGATCCTGACCTGAGACAAAGGCAGACACTTAACCAACTGAGCCACCCAGGTGCCCCTGTATTAGCTTTTTAAAAACAATTTTAGAAGAACAAGGAGCATAGAGACAGAAAATAGGATAGAGGCTATCAGAGGACTGAAGGGAGGCCAGAATAGGGAGTTAAGTGTTTAATGGCTACAGTTTCTGTTTGGAAGGATGACAAAGTGCCAGAAGTAGATAGTGGTGGGGCTTACACATCCTTGTGAATATACTGATTGCCACTCAAAAATGGTTAGAATGGCAAATTTTATGTTATGTATATTTCACCACAATAAAATTTTTTTTATTAAATGAACAAGGACAGGGCACCTGGGTGGCTCACTGGTTGGGCATCTGCCTTTGGCTCGGGTCATGATTCTGGGGTTCTGGAATCGAGTCCTGCATCAGACTCCCCATGAGGAATCTGCTTCTCTCTCTGCCTATGCCTCTGCCTCTCTCTGTGTTTCTCTCATGAATAAATAAATAAAATCTTAAAAAGAGAGAGAGAGAAAGAACCAGGATGTATACAGAACAGGTAGAGGTTGTTGTGTTTGTATAATAAATTAAAATATACAGTTGACCTTGAACTGTGTAGGTCTACTTGTACACAGATTTTTTTACAGTAGAGTACTGTAACATATTTTTCGTATAATTTTCTTAATTACATTTTCTTTTTGCCAGCTTACTCTAAGAATACAGCTAAATTGTCAGGGTGCCTGGGTAGCTCAGTCAAGGTTGAGCATTGGACTCTTGATTTTGGCTCCAGTCATGATCTCAGGGTCATGAGATGGAGCCTCAGGACTGTGCTCCACACTCAGTGAGGTTTCTGCTTGAGATTCTTGCCCTCTCCCTCTGCTCCTTCGACTCCCACTAGCTTACTCTCTCTCTCTCAAATAAATATCCTTTTAAAAAAGGATACAGCTATATTGTACACCTGAAACCAACATAACACTGTATGTTAACTATACTGGAATCAAATTTAAAAATTAGGGGCACCTGAGTGGCTCAGTGGTTGAGCATCTGCCTTCAGCTCAGGTCATGATCCTGGGGTACTGGGATTGAGTCATGCATCAGGCTCCCCACAGGGAGCCTCTTTCTCCCTCTGTTTTAAAAATAAATAAATAAATGAAAACTTCATAAAAATGTAGAACAAAAAAAGGGTACAATATATAATGCACATAACATACAAAATATATGTTAATCAACTGTTATCAGTAAGGCTTCTGGTCAACAGTAGGCTATTAGTTACATTTTGGGGCAGTCCAAAGTTATACGTGGATTTTCAACCACAGAAGTCTGTGCCCCCAACCTCTGTGTTGTTCAAGGGTCAACCTATGTAAATACATAGAAAAGAACCTGGGAGCACACCCAGTGGAAGCGTAGAATTGTGGTGGTATTGAGAGAATTTTTCGGGTTTGATTCTATATATTTTATAACTGTTTGAATATCCTACAATGAGAATTTCTTTTGTAGTAAAACATTTTTTTAAGTCATGGCCCAAAAAAACCCCAAGTTGAGTCACAAGTCAATTGAACCCTTAGAATTCTTTAACCTCACTGGATATGATCTCTGCAGAGAGTTGGAGAGTTTTCTAAAATGTGAAGAAGTGATTGCTTTGGTCCCAGACACCGGAGCCACGTGTCTACCTCTTGGCAGCGCCGTTGCTCCATTAGAGGACATTTGCTTTTAATGGTCTTTACCATCCTTCAGAAACAACCTTTCCTTCACTTTTTAACAGTCTCCCCTCCACCTGAGTTTCCAGTGCTTTCAAGCTAGTCCTTGGCTTACCAGAGCTCTATACAGAGTGCTGGAACCCCGTCTTCCCCCCCGCAGGCACCAGCCCATACTCAGGACCTTTTCTCTCCTTATCAAAACTTAAAACTGTTTCTGGATCCCTTTCACAAAAGACCTTCCTAAGGATTTCAATCAACTAATTTGAGCAAATGTTAATAGCTCCATTTGTCTCTCTATTAGTAGATAATGTTTTAATTTTAACAGAGGCCTTCAATGCATTAACTCAAAGAAATGACTAATAGTGTGTGTGGGTGGGGATGGGGGGGTGGGGAGATTTTGCTACTCATGTCACATAAGCAGGTGCTTTGAAAATATCCCCATGTTCAGTGGTTTTATGCAAATTATTGCTGTAAATGTATGAAAGTAAGTGTTTCGTATCTGGCAGGAAAAGGTAAATGGGCTGGGAGATGTGATGAAATTATTTGTTTATAATTATTTAATGGTTACCTTTGTATAGAACATGTGTTGATCCTATTATCAAAATTAATCAGATCCATGAGGAAAAAAAAAGATACTTGACAGATTCAGCTTGAGGTGTTCAATTGAATTAATCTGGAGCAGAAGCACCACATCGCAGTCCTAGAATGTGAAAGGTACATCTCATGGGCTCTTTTTTTTCTCCAGCTAAGAATTGGAGAGGGGGGTAGGCGTAATGACTCCAGATACTTTCTACAGAGAGAAGCACAGAGCCCTGTCTGTTTTGGAAGGAAAAATCACAGAAGGGAGATTTTGTTGCACAAGAGAATTGTCGCTTCTGCAGAAGGGAACCTTCCCACTGCT